CTGTGCTTGAGAGCCTCCATCTGTGTCTGCACATATACTTGGCCAATAAACACGATTCTGATTCTGATTTAAAGTTGATTCCGTGCTAAGTTGAATGAATTCAACTTAGCAAAGTTGTGTTGTACCCTCTGCTCAGACTCAGTCAAATGCAGCAAAAAAAACAAAAAACTCATCACAGTGGAAATGGAAAATTACCAAAGCATACTGCAAAAGCAACTGTTTCCTGTTGCAAAGAAACTCGATTGTTTCAACTGCCATTGAAGCAAATGAATTGAAGGAAATGCAGCATACGGTGATGTCAATGGCTTCTAGACTTTAGGCAGTCAATGACTGCAAACAGTTTTAATCTGAATGTTAAAAACAGCCCTTGTATTTAAAATTTTGTTAGCCAGTCAAAGTTAGTTAAAGTTTTGTTAAAACCATTTATCAAATCAAAGTGAAAAGTCTGCACATTAATCACAACTTTACTGTTTAAATTAGAATCCACTGTGGTGGTGTACAGAGGATGCCACATTATAATTTATGTCACCTTTCTCTTTGTTTGAACTTCAGCAGGTCATCTTTACCATGTCTGCATACTCATACATACATACTACATACTGAGTTGCTGCCATCTGATATGTTTATTAAATATTTGCATTCAAAAGCAGTCAAACATTTACATCTAATGACGTGGACAGAGAGTGTTAAAGGGCCTATACAAATGTTGATAAGCATTTTGCTTATCAACAACAGGAAACAGATCAGGGACATTAATTGTTTGGTCCCAAAAAGCTAAGTCATTACATTTTGGAACATGAGTTGAGATATGGCTAATAATTTTTGGTCAATTTAACCATTATCAGACACTGTTTCAGGAGTCAAATTAATACCCATGAATCAAATCCACTGAACGACTACCCTGAGGTACCCCTGAGCAAGATACCGTCCCTACACACTGCTCCCTGGGCGCCCAAAGGCTGCCGACTGCTTCACAGAGTGAATGGGTTAAATGCAGACAGGGATTTCCCCATGAGGATTAATAAAGTATATGTTATTATTATTATTGACAATGAGAAAAAGGCACCAAAAAGAAGCAAAATGACAGGAAAAGTAACAAAAACTATGTGAAGAAACAACACTGAAACACACAATTATGACAAAAAGACTAAAATGCAAAAATCAAAACAAAAAAACATCTAGTATACAGAGATGTCAGATAATGGAAAACACCTATATGATGTATAGGTGAATGCACAAAATAAATACAAATTTCAACTTCCTCATTGTAGGTGTGTCTGCCCTGTAGGATGAGCAGGGAGGGCTTTTATCCATCTGTACCCAGTGCCTGTATTTTTCATAATCTGTCCCTGGCTGCAACCTGCAGAGGACAACTTACACTTCTTAGCAAAATCCAGACTGAACCATAACAGCTTCCCAGTAGGCTAGCTTACTTTATATAATAGAGCTTGAAGAACCGGATAGACCAAAGAACAATGTCGTTGCTCTTGAGTCATTTTAAATTTGGTCTGTTTTTTCACACGGTAATCGAAACACGTCTACGGCTGTGACACAGGCAACGCCTTCTCCCAGCTTCTCTATCCACAGTGAACGAGTCTGACGCTTGCAGCTGCTCCTTATTTAGACATAACGTTCAGCAGTAGTACCGCCTGTGTGTGATATTCGACGTTCCTATTGGACGGCTGGACTGTCAATCGACAACGTCCAGGGGACGCTACCGTGCTTGGCCTGTGGTGTACTGCTGTCAACATTAACGGGTGTACCAGCTACATTTAGCCGGATATAATATTTTAACGTGGTAAGACGACGTTTTTTACAATGTTCCCATCAGTTTGGGATGAGAAACCTCAAAGTTTACAGTTCTGTTTTTAAATATATTAATCCTCTCTTTATGTCGGTTTAAGCGGCCATAACAGGCAGGGTTAGGGCTCTTTTAGGTATCGTCGCCCATCCTTTGAGGTTAGCTTTAAAGCTTTACAGCAACATGACAAAAAAGTGCTTATATGCTGGCTAGCTATCGTTAATTGTTGTTTTATCTTCAGCAAATAAAGAGTAAGGGTTAATGAGTGCATCTGCTGTAGCTAACTCTCAGCCGGCTAAAAACAACCTGTGACCTTTTGCTGGCTCTCTCTAAAAGAGGTCCCTGCTCCACAAACGTGTGATTCATTAGGATGTACATCTCAAGCTGGACACAGATCCTTTTTGCATCTGTGTCAAATCTTTACTTTGCTCTCTACATTGCCTCTTTGTTAATTTCTGTTGAATTTGTGCAGGTGCCTGCAGCAAACTCTCCAGATGTCCAAGTACAAACTGTTTCTGCTGAGACATGGAGAAGGGGCCTGGAATAAAGAGAACCGATTCTGCAGCTGGGTGGACCAGAAGCTGAGTGAGAATGGGGTGAAGGAGGCCCAGGACTGTGGAAGGCTCTTGAAGGAGCAGGGATACAAGTTTGACATCGTGTTCACGTCCATACTTAGCCGCTCGATCCAGACAGCATGGCTGGTGATTGAGGCTATGGGTCAGGAATGGGTCCCTGTTGTCAAGTCCTGGAGGCTTAACGAACGACACTACGGCTCTCTGATTGGACTCAACCGGGCAGAAATGGCTCAGCAACATGGAGAGGAAAAAGTGAAGCTGTGGAGAAGGAGCTATGACATCACTCCACCCCCGATTGATGAATCCCACCCTTACTTCCATGAAATCTACAATGACCGTAGATACACCACATGTGATGTCTCGAAGGAGAAGCTTCCCCGAGCTGAGAGCCTGAAGGAGGTGTTGGACAGGCTGCTGCCATACTGGGACAGCACTGTGGTGCCAGTGATAAGGAAGGGCAAGACTGCCCTCATTTCTGCTCATGGAAACAGCTGCAGGGCCCTGCTGAAACACCTGGAAGGTATGCTACCATAACCTGCCATAAACAATGCTCGCTGAGGCTTTGTCTCTGTAGGGTGAATGCATTCCTGCAATACTGTAGTTGAAATCAGCAGCTGCCTCTGAACTCTACAGTCTTCTGCTTCTGGTCATCAGAGTCAATGAATTGGAAAGGACCTATTTCACTTCCAGAATTGGAAAGTGGTCGACCTCTTGTCGAAAGGCCACTGAGTTTGTGTTACATTTGCAGTGACTATGACCTTTTATCAACCTGCTTGTACTGCCCGCTCTGTAACTTGACACATATAGGGTGTTACCGTACCTGTAGATAATTACAGGAAGCAGAGGATACATGCAGGCTGGAGCAGACTAACATTACAGCTTTGCTGAATATGATCTCATTCTCTAGCAGTGATTCAAACTAAAAGACTGCAAACTGTAATTGGTCATGGTTGTGAATTAGGGCTGTGCGATATGACCAAAATCTCATATCCCGATATAAGAATTCTATCGTCCGATAACGATATAAATCACAAAAATGTAACATTTTCTGTAAATTCTGTGAATCTCGGGCAGCTCCTCTTGCGGGAAGTGTTTCCAGCTGTGCGTCATGTAGCTGGTGTCGAGTGTTTTAACCGATGCATGAAACTATACATTTTTAGACATAAGTTGTAACGGCCGCCGTTTTCTTTGTGAGTATTTATTACACGGCGTGCTGCAGGGGAAAGCTTGTTCTAACGTTTGAGTCTAAGGTTTACTTTTTAGCACCTGGCGGCTCTTTTTGAATTCTCATCCGTAAATAATCTGCTCTTTCTCGTGATTCAGTTTATTTTGAAAAGTCTCAACAGGATCTTGAGCTTTATTGTGAAAGGTTTACGTGGAACATAAACAAGCGGACACGCGATGGTGTTACCGTCGTTGTTGCTAACCACAACGCATAAAACAGGCGCTTGTCCGTCGGTAGTGTGGTTATATTAAATATAAGAGTAAGAGAGAACTTTAAGAAATTAATATAACCACTACAGTGACCATCAAAACGATGAAAAAATATTACCGTAAACAGTTTATTTTGCAACACCACGAAACAAACGATAGAAAATGAAACGATAGACGTTTTTATATCGTCATCCGATATATATCGTTATATCGAACAGCCCTATTGTGAATGGCTTGTATTGGATGAATATTACTCCTCCTTTCTCCAGGTATATCAGATGAGGACATTGCCAGCGTGACTTTACCTACAGGGATACCTGTGCTGCTCGAGCTGGATGAAAACCTCAAGCCGGTGAAACCTCGACAACTGCTGGGAGACCAGGAAAAGATTCAGGCAGCCATTAAAAAGGTGGAAGACCAGGGAAAAGCCAAAACAACAACTTGAACGCATTGCAATAGTTGTAAGACGTAATATAGTTTCATTCTTGCTGCCTCTGAGCACTTTTTTTTATTAGCTATGGCAAATGCCAAACTCAACAAACTTGAATAACTCCTTATTTAATAACAGACAACTGCAACAACAGATTGTCATTCTACTGGGACACGGAGAAGTTCAGAGATATGTGTGTGTGTGTGTGTGTGTGTAAATGTTTTAATGTTGTGCTAAATGTTTTTGTGTAAGCACTGAGAAGACATTTGGTCTGTAGCTTGAATGCCACTGTGAATGCCAGCTGGGTAACACTTAAGGGTTTTATTTATGTATTTATTTAGTTATTAGGTTTCTTGCACTGTAACTCTACTTTACAGATTCATAGCAATGCACTGATGTGGCAAAATATTAAAATGCAAAATATATTTCCTCTCTTAAAGGTGTTTTTGTGTGACAGGGTTTCTAACCTGTGCCTTCAGTTTTTATTCGGCACCTGAAACAGGTCTTTTATTGAAAGTGGACCTGTTATGCTTTTCCTTATTTACCTTCAGGTGTGCGCTGTTACATTGATGGATGGAAAAAGCTCAGGCTTCACTTGTTTGAAATCAGTTAAACACTTGGTTTCAAACAGTTTTTTTTTCTCTGGCCTCTCTGTGATGTCATTGAGAAGGGATATTCTTTATACAGCCATCTCAGGCGGACGGCTCTAGCGCTGACTACTTGGTTTAAAGGGAGAAACACTAAAACGTCTTGTTTCATACAGTGGATGAACTGAGGTGTGGCACAAAGGCCAGCTGTGAGATAAACTGGGATTATTTTGAACTGTGAATCATGCAAAGCTACTCGTGTAGAGTCCAAAAATATGAATATGGAGCTGGAAATCAGCAGAACAGGTTCTCTTTAAGAATAAAAGCACTCCATTAAGAAATCTTACCTCAGAAAAATTACAAACCAGCCCATTCATTCCAAGAATTGGGTAATAAAGCCACTCAAATGCTGTGAAATGCTGAAATTGAATGTGGATAAGTTACTGATACCTTTTAATGGCCTACTCAATGCAGCAGAATCTGCTTTAAACAGTACATCAACTCTGACACATAACAGATTGAGTTCAAAACACTTACACTCATGGATATATTGGTATCACAACTAGCTATTTTTATTTCTTAATTACAGTCCTACATGGGCCATTTGATGTTATGTAATGAGAGAAGATGTCACTGTTTGCACAACTATTTTACCGTTATATGTGGCTCACACTGCTTTAATGTTTTTAATATGTTGTAAAGTGTGTCTTGTGTGTAATTGTTGTCTCTTTTTTTTTTGTCCTCAGTTTCTTGCGTTTCACTGCCACTGTAAGGCGTAACTGGTTTGTTAGGTCAACAGGCAAAATGGATACATTTTGAACATTTCTAGGTACTAAAGGGTAGAAACACTGATATATTTATATTTCCTGTAAGCTAGCTTAATGACCTCCCTGCTGTTCTTACCTTGCCATTTGAGAGTTGAATAAAAACTCTCAAGATGAATAAAATGGAATTCTAACTTTCCAAAAACATAAACTTATTTCTGTGTTATGTTTCATTTTCAGCTTTGTTTTTATCTGATTGCTCTTTATTATTGAAGAGAAGGGTGTTCCAGATGTTGCCCTGATATACAGTCAACTATAAATTATGTGATGGAGCAACTGAACCAAATCGGGAAAATAAACAATAATGCTTGTTTTGGAAGTGCAGACATCCTCGCAATTTGGATTCCGGTCGCCTCGAGCCCGCTGGAATCAATAAACGACTGAGTCTGTTTGGCTACCGCACATGGACTCAGAAGAGTGGTTCTTCATTTCTCAACCCTTTCTGTAATTTGGCCAAACCACTGAGGCTGAGACCGGGAGAAACCCTCTAATTGGATGGAAATGCTCCTAAATGAAATGATCAATGTGATTGTTTTTATTCCAACTTATGTGGCAGGAGCAATACATGTATTTAACTGATATGCTAATGTATGGACCACCGTGTTTATATCTATCCTTTAACAATCAGACAGGCTCATTAAGTACATCTGTCATTTAACCCAATACATCTAGAAGCCAAATACTGCACTTCAGTCAGAAAGCTTTTTACACGCAATAATGCAGCACTGCTAAACTGCATAGAAAAGAAAGCGCAAGTTAGAAAATTGAATCTATGTTTAATATTTTTAACCTTTATCAACCAGAGGAATCAGTTGCACTGCAATTTAAAGACATCCCTAAAGTTAACCTGTGTGCATACTCGTGTCAACCCTGTGAAACTCAGTGAGTTTGCAGCTTGAGCAGGCGGAGCTGCACATTGCATGCTCTGCTTATAAACCCCTGGTCGCTCTGTGCCTGCTGATTTCCAGCCGCTTTGGTCTGCAGGCCTGGTAAGTTTAATCATAATGTGTGATGTCGCTTCACAAGGTCATTAGCGCAGGCATATAGGGATGTTGTGTTTTGTATTTAGACTGACTTGTGTGGAAAAAACTTTATAATCAGAGTGAAGTACATATTTACAGCTGCTAATGACTGTTGAATTTGCAGTGGTTTCATGTATCATTTGATGTGAGGACAAAAAGACGGGCTGGTTCAGATTTTGAAACACACCAAAGAAGACTCTTGAAAAGATTTGTTAGGTTATATTTTATATGGATGCCTCACTTTTGTACTTCTTCTGTAGTACAAATTATTACATCTGAGCATGCCATCCTCATTCTAGATTGCTTGAAAAGAGATGAAACTGAAGAAATAGAACATAAATATAAGTGCACGACATTCATTGTTAAAGAAACTAAATGTTTAGATCTCTATGGGAGACTTTCCACACAGAGATATTAGGAGAACTTAATTGTGTTCCCTCAATACAAGTTTTTAACATCCTCAAGCAGAGACAAGAGTGGGAAAGAGGTATCATGAAAACTGAAGTTGATGTGAAATATCTTTTTACACTGTGTTTATATTTTTATCTTTAATACTAGAAAGGAAATTTCATTGTTATAAAGAAAATTGATTCTACTGGATCCAAGCTGCAAAGAAAAAGAACTCTAACAAGGAGTGACAGAAACAAAACAAGTCTCACAATCCCTTTTCATGAAGTAATTGTGAGCTTAATCATGTACAATTTGCTGGCGGGGACTTCTGCAAATAAGTGGTTTCAGCTGCCCATATTCTTGTTTTTCCTCCCTCCTTTCATGAAGCTTAGATACTTGCATCTTTCTGTGCAACAGAACGACAGAAGTCGAAGCCATAATTCAGTTTTAGTTTTCTGTTGCTCATATATTAAGCGGACGTCTGGCTGTGGACACACTGTTTGGTGTAGTGGACATGCCAAGTCGGCCTCCTATTCCTTAGATGGTATTGCAGATAAAGGCTGGACCACACTCGGTTGCAGCGTGCGAGTTTGTGACCGGAGGCTGATCTAGTCTGGGACTGGAAATGTGTTTGGATTTGAAGAGCATTCTCACTCACCCATCTTGATTACAGAAATCGGGATGACTTTGTATCCTGAAAGTGAAAACAGCTGTGTATGCACAAAATGTAAAAGATATTGTTAACGCATTGGACTTCCAGTCTTTCATATCCAGTATGCACAAGTACAAGAGAACACATTCTCAGAAAGTAGAGCAATTCAGATATTTATGTTTAAGGTTTAGCTGTGTATGACTTTTTCCCCCTTTTTAATTAGTACAGTCCAAACGCTATTGTCTGCATGGTGCCAACTGTGTCTGGATACAGATGGAAATACAAAATGTCTTTTGAGCGTGAACACATGGGAGCTGCTGCAGTTTGAGTTGAAAATCAGCCATTTAGGAGGTTTGGAGTCTTCTCTCACCCCCATTCTCTGCGACCTGCTGGAGCAGGGGGGCTAGGACTAGGAGGAGGAGTTGGCCGTCCGACTGCGGTCTGGAGTGTGGAGCCTTCCTGCTGCTGCGGAGTCGGGGCGGTCTGCCTCCCCCCACCGCAGGGAAAAGGGAAACACCACCTGGGTCTGGGTGCAGTTCCCCCCTCCAGGGGCGGGGGCACCTAGACCCGGTTTGTAGAGTACGCTTGGGGAGTGTGATCGTGTGTACAACGTCTCTTTATGTCTGTCTCCACGTTGGTTGAGTGTGGAGTAAGTGCATATGAGAGCATGAAGGTGGGAATGGATGTTTGTATCTGTGTGTGCCTGTATGTCTGTGTCTATATGTCAGGTTGGGTGTCAGGCGCCACCTCTCTGGGGACATCTCAGGCCCTCCAAGGTTTGGAGGCCTATCTCCCCCTACCACCACTTCCCCTGCCAGTGGCGGACCCCCTCAGACATCGGTGCGTTGGTGGTTCTTTGTGTCCGGGGATGGGCGTCCAGGTACACACCGGCTCACTCCTTGGCGGCCGCTTATCGGGGCCTGGAGCCTGGGGCTCGCTCGGGCCACTTCGGAGGTGGGGTGCCCCCGGCCTCTCGGCCTGGGGCTCGGTCACTCAGGCGCGGCTGGCTGCCGGCGGAGCTCACGGGCGCGTCACTGCAACTCCCCCTGGCTTCTGCTCCGCGGCTGCTGAGTGAGCCCTCATCTGGGACTCTCCTCAGCTCTTTCTGGGACAGTGGCGCAGCTGCCCCTCTGTTGGTCTTCCTTGGTCTCTTGTGTTCTGGGGGCCTCTGGATGTCTGGAGTTTTGATCTCCTCCACACCTGCTTCACGCCCTGGAGGACGGGGCTGTGGCCCCCCCACACCCTCTAGCAGATCATTACATGAAGGAACCTTTTAAAAAACAAAAAACAAGCGCGTCCATGCTCACAGGTGTACACACGGGTGATCACACCCACAAACTACACCCTTTTTGGCTCCTACCTCAAAGCACACTGTGTTCTGTTGATCTTATGTGCTGCACAATAATGTTTAACATTTAGTATTTACTGTCATATTCCCATATATCATTGTGATGTTGTTTATTCTATTACTCTTGTTCTCTTCTGCTTGCTTTCTTTTTTCTTTCTCAGCAGGTGATCCAGGTGATTGATATATGCATTTTTTTCTCTGCCCGTTCTGTTGGTTTTTGTCTTTTGCCCTTCTCCCCCGTCCCTCTTCTCAGCTGTTTCTCTTTCCCTCTTTCTTTCTCCCCTTCTTTCCCCCAGTCAAGTCTGTCCCGTATTCAGTAAGTGAAAATAAAATAAACAATAAAAGGTGAATCAAATGGACCATTACGGCAAGGCTGGGATGGTCAGTTTGGTAAAGTAAATCCGTTGGGCATCTTTCTTTGCCTTTAGACAACAATTCTGATGGCAAAAGAGCCAAACGGGACAGGCAAAAAAAAAAGAAAAAAAAAAAAGAAAATCAGCCATTTAAAAAGTTGTGAATCAAGTTTGCCAACTGAGAAAGTGATACGGGAAAAATTCAGCTGCTGGTGTTTTAATGCGAGCACAAGCGGGTCTTTGTGCCT